GGCAGACTTACAGAGTTAATAAATCAACCACAGGAAGTCAAACTATAAAATAGGTATTGAAAATTCTCATTCCAAACACTGTGCTTTCTCTAACGTTAGTCTCTAGTATATCACCACACCCCCATCAACCCCACACACACTTCTAATATGTAATGAAAAGTTCGAACTATAGATTCTGGCTGAAATTTTAACCAGTCCTAATAAATCCAAAATCTATTCATCAGACTTTGAATGTATGTTTTTTAAAAAAAATCTTTATTTTTAATTGGAGGATAATCGCTTTACAGTTTTGTGTTGGTTGCTGTCGTACAAAAATGTGAATCAGCCATAAGTATATATATATCCCCCCCCCTCTTGAGCCTCTTTCCCACCCCACCGTCCCGCCCCTCTTGGGCATCACAAAGCACCTATGTTATATAGCAACTTCCGCTAGCTATCTATTTTACACCTGGTAACGTGTATATTTCAAAGCTAAAAGCTCATCTTCATCTAGCAAATTGTTAAATTCTGGCATAATATCCATTCTGAAACAAAGTTTCCGTAAAATGCTTTTCTTTTTACTGGTTTCTACTGACTACCACTGTTTCTTCTAAAATGATGTAGATGGAAACACTAATTTGAGCCTGAAAGCTTTTATAATTGATGGTTGCTCCTAAGCAACTATTCTATTTTTTGTTTTGTATCAAAATCAGTAATTCCTGCTTCAAAAAAGCTTTACCACTTTTGTTTAAATGATTACACTTACATTATCAGTGTTGATGTAAACCTAAAATTGATCATACATTGATCAAATATGCTTTGAGCCACCTGCCATCACTGGTATGAGTGTGCTTATGACCCTGCTTATGAGTCTGCTGGAAGAAGGAAATTGCAGTGCACTCCAGCATCCTTGCCTGGGAAATCCTATGGACCGAGGACACGCAGGCTACAGTATATAAGTTTGCCAAGAATCAGACAGAACTTAGTGACTGAGCACACACACACACGGGTCTGCTGACTACTGGCTCATCTGCTAATTAGCTAGTACACACAAAATCAGTGGGTTAAAAGAACATGTATGTACTCTCTTACAATTCCTGCGGCCAGAAGTCCAAAGTCATTTTCACTGGGCTAAAGTCAAGGCCAACCAACACGGCTGCTTCCTAGAGAGGTGCTGAGGGCAGAATCCATTTCCTTGCATTTAGCAGCTTCTAGAGTTTCTTTCCTTGCATTTTTTGGCTCCTGGCTCTTCCCTCCACCTTTAAAACCCAATCTTAGCATCTTCCATGCTCTGGCTGCTTTGGTCACCTCAACTTCTCCTCTGCCTCCTCTTTATAAAGACCTTTTCATTACACTGGTCACACCTGCATAATCCAAGATAATCTCCCTTGCTTTAAGATCCTTAATTTAGAGTTGTAAGTCCATTTTGCTGTATGGAACATGGACATGTTTAGAGGCCCTTTATTCACCCTACCACAGGGGCATAGGGTGGGGGCGGCATAAAGGTTGAAAAGCTCTTAGGTGATACTTTCAGGCAATAATTGTTTATATATGTTGAATGTTCCCTACGGGCCCATTCAAGCACCATCCTGGATTCTCTATGAGCCTTGAACCATTTAACATATAGCAATGGATCTTTATCCTATGGCGCCAAAAGCCCTGGACGTTTAGAGTTAGAAAGTACTTTATAGTTTATGTTCTTGCTCATCTCCACTACCTGTTTGAGGAATGAAGCCTTGAAATTAAGAAATTAGTTGAAATTGTATTTATCAAGATGGAGAGATTAAGTGACTTTTCAAAGCTACACTGTGGGGGTGACAAAGCCATTGGGGGCATACTGCATTCTTGCTACCTACTCCAGGCTAAGAACACCCAGCTTTCCTGCTTCTTAAGGGCACACCTCAGTTGATGGGCACACCCCCCCAAATTCTTATGTTTAGTCCTAACCCCTTGTACATCAGAATGTAACCCTATTTGGAGACAGGGCGTTTTAAAAGGTAATTAAGGTGAAATACGGTCTTGAGTGTAGGGCCTGAATCCAACATGACTGGTACGGTCATAAGACAAAGACACACCAGAGTCGCACAGTGAGAGGGTGGTCTTCTGTGAGCCAAGGAGACAGGCCAAACACCTTGATCTTAGACCTCAGACTTGTGAGAAAATAAAGTTCTATTTTTTAAGCCACTCAATCTGTGGTTTTTTGTTTGGCAGCCTGAGCAAACTAATATAACCCAGATAGGCCACAGACCTTAGAACATTTTTAGGCTGGAGTTAGCTAGTTCATGGTCCAGATTTACTAGAAGAAGATATGGGTTTACTAGAAGAAGACATGGAGTTTATGAGTAATCTGCAGTATTTGTAAAAGACTAAGGGAAATGTTCAAAATATAGTCTAACTAAAATTCCAGTTTCATTGCTTTGGGGGGGAATGACATCAAGTCAATATGGCAACATCAGCTACTTCACATTTATCGAAAGCTTTACTTGGCAACATGCATTTTTGATTAATTTAAAATAAAATTATTTGCTGTTTAATAAGTTGATTTGTTTGGAAGTAAAAACTCAGGCCTTTTGATGGAGAGGAGGTTGAATGGAAATCACTGCTTGAGCTCCCAATTCCTTTTTTTAAGTCTTCCAAGACCCATGCTGTTTAATCCTCTTCAAATTGCTAGAGCTCTTTCAGGGGTGAGCTGAGCAAATTATATTGCTTTAGTCATTTGTCACATCAGGGGTGTTGTGAGCCATTGTTTTCAAATCTAGGAGTATCACTGACATTTGCTAGATGCCAAGTATCTGGTTATTTTCCTGAAAGTCAGAGAGATTTTAAGTGAAAATGATCCTCAGTGTATTAGTCAGGGTTCTCCAGAGAAACCAAACCAATAGGAGATTAGATAGATATTAACAGATATGTATTTTTAGATATATATATACATATATTTATTATGAAGGATTACCTCTGGAGCCAAGAAGTCCCACGATCTGCCAGCTGCCTGCAAGCTAGAGAGGCCCAGGAAAGTGGGTGGTAGTTCTAGCCTAAAAACCAAGGAGCCTTTGGTTTAAGCCAATGGTGTAAGTCCCAGTCTGAGTTTCCAGGAGCACGGATTTCTTAGGGCAGGAGAAAATGATGCCCCAGCTCAAGTAGAGAGAGCAAATTCATCCTTCCTCTGCCTTTTTGTCCTATTCAGGCCTTCAGTGGATTATATTATATCCATCTGCATCAATAAAGGAAATTTTCTTAGTCTACCAATTGAAATGGTAGTCTGGGAGACAACTTAATAGACACACCTAGAAATCTGAACATCCTTTAGCCTAGCTAACTTGACACATAAAATTAAGCATCACATCTAAATAACAAAATATCAAAATAGCTTAATTCAATAGGTGGATGGACCTAGCTCATTAATCTAAATAAAATAAAAATTTTTTAAATGAAAATAAAGAAGTCACAGCACCCAGTGCAGATGTTAGGGTATCAAGCACCTTCAGTATAATATATCTGAAAGTTTGAAAAACAGTACTTTAAGCAGAAATGTATTTCATTCAAAAAATAATAGCAAAAACACACACTTAATATTAAGACTGGAGGTTTATTAAATGCTTTATCATAAAATATTAAGCCCACACTATTACAATACATAGGCTTGATGTTCTAACAAGTAACACTGTGCCTCAATCCAGGGAAGTTCGTGATGCCAATACAAGGTGGAATTGTGGGGAATTATGAATACAGAGATATCTTCCTTTTCCTCTTCTACAACTGCAATACTGATGTTCAGAAATGTTTACACATTGAGAAAAACTTTTAAAATTTCCTGAGTGTTCCATTAAACAATTTTTTAAAATTAGGTTACCCTAATGGGAAACATGAAAATTTCCTGGTGGAAAATCTATTTTAATATTTATTATCTTCAATAACTGAGAACCATAATCCTAAATATTTATTATACCATAAGAAAGTCTTTGGAATTATCATAAGGCTTTCTAGAACAAGATAAATTTCAAGGCAATGTACCAAGGACTAAATTTTCTTCAACCACCAACTTAGTGATATGCAAAGATAAAAGAAAAGTCAAGGTTAGCTGATTTTCTTCCAAATAGCAGGAACTAAGAAATATTAGGGGAAAACAAGGATGTAGGAATGAGTGGATATTAGATGAGGAGAGAGATGGCTAAGGAAAGGTACTGAGACTAGTTAGCATTTACTAGCATATATTTTCATTCATTAGTCAACATTTTCTTCATATATATAATTATTTCAAGATAGCACTTCTAAACACTAAATTGGTTCATTCATTTTTCAAGTCAGTTGCAAAGAAATTTCAATCCAGAATATCTAAAGTTAAAGCTAAGAGCATTTTGATACTTACCCCTAAGAATATCTGGCATTCTCAGCCATAGCTCCTGAATACATGGTTTCTTAATAAAATATCACGAAAACAGAACTGATGTTGAAAAAGTATAACCTACCTAGAGCTCAGGGTAGTAGTCACAACCAACTTTACCAATTTATATCAGTTACTCACACAGAACTAAACAAATTTAACCAATTCAATTATTTAGCTTGAACAGAAGCCAGATATTTTGCCTTTTAAATAATTCAACCAATCCTAAAGCAACTTTTCAGAAAATGACACCTAAGATTTGCATTGAATTTATACTTCCAGTCCACACTTTGGTACCCTGGCTTTTCTAAGCTGGACACTTTGCTCTAAGTATGATCATCGATGAAAGAATTTTAAAGTAAAGAAAAGGAACTTTAATTTGGATGGAAGTATTTTGTATTCATATTAATAAAAGAGACCATGCTTTCAGAAAAAATAAAATCATATGTAGTATACAGAGTATTGCAATCATAAGTAATCCAAACATGTAACCATCTCCATTACACAGTTAAGCATCCAGGTCTAATATACTACAAACCATTTGATTTAAAAAGGCTTGTAACCAAAATTTTAACAAAGAAACACCAGTGAAAATAGGTTTAAAATATATATCCTTGTAAAATAATGTATGTTTTCCACATTAAAACCTTGTTTCAGAAGTTCCCCGCTTCAAGTTGTTACTCAAAAACTCATCATGTTCAAAACTCAAATTATTGTGAGATCTTGAGATCATAAGAAGCTTCTCCTTATTAGTAAAGTCTTTCTTGATTGCAGCTTGCGGCACAAGCAGCCTCTCCACCGGGTCCTCTTTGTTTTCTAGTTTCACATATCCTTTGCTGTTGCTTCGATCCAAGCGAGGCCAGCTTGGATGCTTTCGTTGTTCTGCCTGAACGGTTAACGTGGAGTGACCTCGCTCTAAGTCTAAGGATTTTGAGTGTGATGGGAGCAAATGCAAGGATGTGTTGGAACCAAACTGTCTTCTAACAGCCCCAGGAGACAAGAGCTGCTCAGCTCCAGGTCCAAGGGCCACAGAGGCCTTGTACTGACTTGACAACGACTCCCCAGCGGAATTATTCCTTGGGAGCAGCAGACCAACTGGCTGGAAGGGCTGGCTGGGATTGGGCAAAGGGACCATAAGGGAGTCCACTGACAAATTCCTTGACCTGCTTTTGAGGTTATCAACATCCTCCGTGATGTTATCTATACTGGGCTCATCAATCACACAGTTATTAAGTTTGATCACAGGTAATGTAAAAGCGCTGATGGACGATGACACAATCGACTTGGTTTCACATTTCTTAGGGCCACTGGTTTTATCATCAGCTGTCTTGGAAGGAGGTGGATAGAGGCCACAAACAGAGGCAGAGCTGTCAGAGAGCAAAGGTGGCACAAGATGCCCCAAACTCTTACTTTCGTTGACCACAAGCTCATCCTCCTCGACAGAGCTGTCCATCCGAAAACTGCTCCTGAAACCTGAGAAAGAAGCAATGGTATTTGCTGCCAGTCTCGAAGCACAGGAGTTCCCATTCTGCTTCACTTCCGTTTCTCCCATTAAACCAGTGTAGATGCCATTCATGTGCTTTTGCTCCTTGATTCTCAGAGTGTGGATGTCGATGACTGTGGAATAGATGTCCCTCATGTGTATGATTTTGGTTTCTTTGTCACGGTTCTCGTGAAGAATGGCGTTAGCACAGATGAAAATGAAAATGCCAATCCCCATTGTGAAAGGGCCAAGCATTTTCATTTTATCAGAATGCAAATGTTGCTCAAAGAAGCGAACCACCACACCGCCTTGGTTCCGGATGACCTGAGTTTCGTTTGTTGACAGTGTTGTCTCAGCATTGATAAAATGTTCTTTTTGAGGCCAATATCCAAGGACTGCCATTGCAATTCCTACAATGGAGATAAGGACTCCTAAAATGAGGAAAAAACCAGATGGGGAATAAAGCCGGATTTTGCCTCGAACAACCACAACATCGGCCCGAGGTCGACGCCTGACTGGTTTCTTCTCCTGGGCAGCAGGCGACGGGCTAAGGTTGACATGATGCTGTGATCTGGCAGAGTCTTGCCTTTTCAAGGCGGCCAGGCCAGTTATCACTCCACCAGTTGCTATCATAGCTCAGTCTTTTATTCTGGAAAGAAGAGAAAAAGATGATAAATCTATGTTCTGCAGCACGCTCATCATTTCAGCAAGTGTTTCTATATTTTTGTTGTCACTGTTTCATGTAATGCGATAGGGCAGAAGAATGTCTTTTTAATCAACATAATTTGGGTAGAAGTTTTATCGACTGATATAAAATTCTAGAGATTTCCTTTTTTGGCTAAATTAGTGTTTCTATTATTAAGGAAATGTGAGCTCAAGGTACATTTTCCTTAAGTAACTTTATCAGTTAAAATTACATTTTATTGCCTAAAATTATAAAATGGTTTCCTGGTCACAAGATACACATATTCTCTTTTTTCTCTCTCTCTCACACACACACACACGCACGTACACACAAACACACACCCATCCTTCATAATCTATTAAAGAAATGAAAATATCCAAAACACCTAATAGGCCCCAAACAAACCTTAGGTTTACAAATAGAATATATTCCATCAGCTCACAGTTCTAAGATTACTCTTGCAAAAGTCACCCATGAACTCTCAGCTATTAAATTTAATTTCTCCTGCTCAATTCTCATCTTCCTGACTTCTCTGTTTCCATGATATTACCTGACCCCTCCTTTCATTAAACTTCGCTCTTGTCCAGCTTTTTGATGATACTATGCCTTCATGGCTCTTTCCTGACCTCACTATTTCGATTTTGGCTTCTTTTTCCTCACCTAAAAGTAGACAAGCTTCCCCCAAGTGTCCTGTCCGTGGCCATCTTTTCTTTATGCTCTCCCTTCACATTCATATTCCTTCCTACACCTTCCACTATTTCCTTAATGCTAATGAGCCCCAAGTCTGTATTATGAACTGTAGCCTGAGTTGTAGTTTCACATTTCCAGCTCCCCATTGGGGAACATGTTTACATACAATCTTGCTTCTCCAGCAAAGTTGAGGTCCCCCTCAATGCCATACCACACAGGGGTGGACTCACCTTCTACCCTACCACTTGCCTAGTCTGACTCTCTCAATGGCCTCAGTTCTTGTGTTTGACTCTTCATAGTTTTCTTTAAGTCCTCGTTTTCTTCTGCCTCATCTTCTAATCAGGTTCTAAATCCTAAAAATTTTCACTGTAGAATGTCTCTCAATTCTACTCCTTCATTCCAATCCTGCTCTTCCCAGCTTAGTGCTGATCTTAGTAACACTTACTAGACTATTATAATAACCTCCCAACTGGTCTTCCAAACTCCATTTCTCTTCCTCCACAATCAAGCTTAAACTAATTATCCAAAAGTATGGTTCTGAAGTTGTTTAAAGAGTGGAAGAATAGATAAAATATTTCTCACTACTCACCAAAGTTTTAATCTGGGTTTTCAGACCCATGGAATTTAGCTTCATCTCCAACCACTCTCTTTCAGTTACATAGAACTAATACCCAACCATACTGCCTATACTCCATATAGTGTTTCTGAGACTTCATTAATAATGCTTCATCTGTCTAGATCTTCCTTTACCTGTTTTGCATATTTCACATATTATCCTCTGGCTAATCTATAAAGCTAATATTCCATGTCTTTATAAGGCCTTCTCTGGCTAAGCAAATCCCACATGAGTTCATGCCTCATAGCATTTTAGCAAATTTCCTATGGCACTCACCATATTACAGTGTCTTAGTTCTTCCACTACTTGTGGCCAAACATCAAGTTTAACTCTATTTTTGTTACCAGAAATATTTGATATAATACCTTACACATAGTTAGTGTCAAGAAATATTTGCTAAAATGTTCAGTATGGGAATAATATTTCTCCTGAGATTTCTGTATAACCACAGGATTACTATATTAACTTTCCTAGTTTAAAATTTGAACAAATGTAATGCCAAAACAAAAAGCAACATTTTGTGAGTTGGTAAAATATTTGTCATTACTTGTAATGAATACTTCTCAAGCTGCCAAATCTGGTAGTAGAAAACAGAGAATATTTTAAGACCCGCAAGGTCTCTGGCAAATTTCTACAAGAGTTTCTTCATGGTATCAAATTCTGTCTTGTGAAATCAAGCTCTCCTTTTGGATTTCTATTTATGATTTCTGAATTGTGTTTAAATAATGTGGTGGTGGATGGTACCTACAGTTTTAGTTAGCTGAACAAGCTGGTGAATAAATCCAGGCTTCATTGGAATTATAGCTTGGATTAAAATAGTTGAATGTTGGAAGAACAAACCATAATCTAACCCACAGCTCTAGCCTATGAAGTTTATCAAAGTATGCACACTACAACTGAGGATATCCACTAAACCTTGGGTAAAACACAGCTTGTCCATCTATGTTTTCTTGAACCAAATACCAGTTCGGGTGTTTGAAAAAAATGTTTAGATTAGATAGCAGCCATCTAACTCAGTTATTTCCATTTAGGGGGATAAGGATTTAGTCTGAAATCTTTCTGAATAGAATGAAAACAAGGGCAAAAGGTTTGCAACTGGTTTAAAAGCAACTATGGTGAATTCCCACTCCCTATTACATTCCTAATCCTCCCCAACTTGTTCAAACATTTTCTCCTTATGATGCCATTTTCTATTCCTAAAGTTGATAGAGGAAAAGGGGCTGGAAGAGAAAAAAAATATTTTGAGAAATACAGATGAGGAGAGGAAGGTGGAAAAGAGCAGTGAGGGACTGGGTTCTTTGAGGAAGCAGCAAAGCTGGTTAGACAGGACAGGAAGAAAAAGCACAGGCTGGATAACAGTGTGACTGAGAGGAGGAAAGACACCTGGAGGAGTACAGAAATGAAGTCCAGAATGAGGGGAAAATAAAAGCTCACAGACCACCCTGACCAGCCAGACAGAGGTACCAAGACGCCCAAGGGTCAGCAAGTTCAGGTTGGATGTCAATGTCCTCCCTCAATTCCATTCAAAACAATTCAACACTAAATGAGCTTCTTTCAGGACTCAGAGCCCCAAACTGACCCTAAAGGAAAAGCAAAAGTGCGCACACTCAGTCACTGCTTCAAAGAGCTTGAAAGCTAATGAAGGGGCTGGTATATCTACATAGAACAGAATGTGGTAACCCCTAGAATAAAAGTTTCAATCAGGCAGGACTTTTACAGCAGGCTTCATGCAGATGAGAGCATTCTAACATTCATCAGAGTGAAAAAAACAAGTGAATGGCATTTCAGATAAGGTCAAGAAAGAAAGGCTGGAGACAGAGCTCTGGCCAGCCTCAGCACATAGCACAGCACCCGGGGAGGGACTCAGGCTGGGCTAGAGAGAGATGGAGGGCCAGGTCTTCAAAGCTAGCAATAGTCATTCCCAATCTTGAACGCTAGACTCGTGCTCAGTGGAGTTAGAGGAAGATGCAAAGTACATTTGTTGTTGTCTTAGGAAAATTAATCTCAACTTGTATATGAGGGATTGATATTGGAAAACCATAGTCAGTTCAGTTCAGTTGCTCAGTCGTGTCTGACTCTTTGTAACCCCCATGGACTGCAACATGCCAGGCCTCTCTGTCCATCACCAACTGCCAGAGTTTACTCAAACTCATGTCCATTGAGTTGGTGATGCCATCCAGCCATCTCATCCTCTGTCGTCCCCTTCTCCTGCCTTCCATCTTTCCCAGCATCAGGGTCTTTTCCAATGAGTCAGCTCTTCACATCAGGTGGCCAAAGTATTGGAGTTTCAGCTTCAGCATCAGTCCTTCCAATGAACACCCAGGACTGATCTCCTTTAGGATGGACTGGTTGGATCTCCTTGCAGTCCAAGCGACTTTCAAGAGTCTTCTCCAACACCACAGTTCAAAAGCATCAATTCTTTGGCACTCAGCTTTCCTTAGAGTCCACCTCTCACATCCATACATGACGACTGGACAAAGCATAGAAACCTAGTGAAACCGTAAAATCTAGAAGCAGTGAATACACAGGCTTCAGCAGCTTCAAACTGCACTGTCAACTTGATCCAAAGTATTCAGCATACACACAATAGCCTAAGTCTCCTTGTTTATTTATTCTGCAAAGCCACATCTCCTCCATTCTGCATTTTACCACTTTTTTTGGCTGGAAGTGAAGGGATGGGAGAATAGGGACCCTGTAAACTACAGTCTTCTTACCATAACAAGTCATAGCATCCTTCTAGGTTTTAATAATAATAATAATAGTAATAATAGTTAACACACTGATCACAGTCAGGCACCATTCTAAATGTTTTGGTATAAGAACATATTTATTATCACAGCAGCTCTGGAAGTGGACATAATGATTATGGCCTCTATTTTGCAGATGAGAAAACTAAGGCTCAGAGAGTCTAGGTAAGTTGCCTAAGGTCGCACAGCTCAGAGGTGTCCACAAAGCCTGTGCTGTTACAGAATTTGAGATGACGTGGCCCTCCACATTTGCTTTCACTTGAGGTCTTTTTTACCTGCCCATTTTTCTTATTTTGATTCCTGTTTCTATCAGAACACCAGGCCCTAAAGAATGCTTTGTACCTTTAGAATAGTGATTGCACGCTTAGTTCCTCAGTTGTGTCCTTCTCTTTGCAATCCCATGGACAGCCCACCAGGCTCCTCTGTCCATGGAATTTTCCAGGCAGGAACACTGGAATGGGTTGCCATAGCCTTCTCCAGGGAATCTTCCCAACCCAGGGATGGAACTGCAGCTCCTGCATTGGCAGGATTCTTTACCACTATGCCACCTAGGAAGCCCCCTTTAGAACAGTGACTATGAACCAACTGACTTCCATTTCCATTTTTATTGGGAATAAATGAGAGTGAAGGTGTATCCTTGGGTGAGCACTGACCTCTCACATCTGTCTAGATCCCTCTCTCCCTATGAAGGAGCAGACTCAGAACAAACCAGTCACCACCCCAACTCTCCTCCTTTCTCTACAATCCTGGATAGAGTAGGGCTGGGACTTTTCTCAAAGATCTAAGTGAAGAAGTTTCCTACAATGAATTTCACTTTGTTAACCTGGGCACAGAGGTTTTTTTATCCATCTCTCTGGATCCAAGGCTTCACCCAAACTTCTGAAACTTGAATTAC